CTGTTTAGATTTGGGTTTGTTTTCCAGGAAAAAAGGTTGAAAAAAATTTTTTTAAGTTTACCTGGAATAAACTCTTGGCTTTACAAAAGATCAGATACTACCACATATTTATCCAGGTCTACTTTAAATAAAGGTCTCTTGAGATTTCTGAAGTGCTTAAATTAAAATGGGTGGACAAATAAGAGGTATAAGTGCTTTTGATGGAAGTAATAGCTTGCATGTTTCTAAGAGTAGAACAGTGAGAAATGGTAGTAGATGTGGCTAAGCCTGTTATATTCCCGTGGTTGGCTGCAACCAGAGTAATAGTCAGGAGTGTAAGAAGGAGTAAAATAAGCAGTCTCCCTTCCAAATGAAGTAAATGTAAAGGCAAAACTTACAAACTACCTGAAACAGAGGCAGGGGCAGAGGGGATAACTCAATGCCAGGACTCAGAGCTGAACACAGGAGTCCCAATACCAGCCTCTGTTTGGTGCTTTCTACATCAAGCCCCAGTTCCCGCTATTTACTGTAACTGGGGAAATTCAATCACTTCCTAAATGACAACTCTGGATGTGCTTTTTCTCCAGCTTTGGCACTGAGATGAAGTTTTATTTCATGTCTTGCCCAGCAGGTTTAGACTGTGGTGGTTTAAAGAAAGTAGAAGTATCTTGAAAGGAATGCTGAGAATAGGAACCAGACCAGGAATTGAAATGAGGAAGGAGAAATGAGATCTTCCCTCCAAAAAAATATTCCCAACAAAGCTGAATAAAAACAAGAATATGCTGGCTGGAAATGCGGTAGCTGTAAACTTTAATTCCTTGGCAGCAAAGCACCAGGCCTTGCACATCAGCCCACTCTTCTGGGGAAATCCGGGAGCCAAGAACATGGCCATGTGGTCTCCAGACCCTCCAGACCCCCATCCAGGTCTGTATACCCCACGTGAGGAAAACAAAGGCAAGGATGCATGAAGGGTACTCCACCAGCAAAGCCAGTGAGAGGAAAACAAGAAGAGGAAATAAAACCTGAGTGTTGTGAGGAGGTACCCTGTACCAAACCCTGAAGGCACACAACTGTATCAATGTTGTACGTGTGGGAAGAGCTTCTTGAAAAAGAGAAATTCCATAGCCTACTGTAGGAAGGCCCAAAGTTGTGTTCAGGGCTGGAAGGAGATGCACCAGGATCAAGCAGCACCCTTGCAAGGAGTAAGACAAGCAAGGCCAAGGAGGCACCATCCCCAGGGCAGGGAGATCCATGCCAAGTATAAGCCTTATGAGACCTTTGCTGTGGTGTAGCAGGTGGTGCAAATCCCCAGATAAGAGTGGGGATATAGTAGGCTAAAATACCCACCATGAAAGGTGGCCCAGGTTGCTCATCTCTGCAAGAGTCTGTGTCTGGATGACCAGAGGGTGTTGGGGATAGCCACAGAGAACACAGATGTGAAGGTCACACAGCATCCATGCTGGCAGCTGCTGTCCTGGGCTCACGAAAAACATTGACACTGATGGGACTTCGCTCCCCTTCAGACCCTGAACCACGCATCCAGATTTCTTCATGTCTCCCACCTCCACCACGTGTCAAAATAGAGAGAAGAGATCTCTGAGAGGTGATTCAGGTTATCTGACTAAGGTTTTTGCCCCTAAATCACCTTCTGGAGAAACTTGTCCAGCTCTACGGACCAGAAGGGACCCAAGTTCTCAGCCTGTGCTCTTCAGCTTGGGCTGTCATCACCTCTGGACCTCTCCTACTCCTTGGATGAGAGTAACAAGAAAATCCTGCCCTTGTCCTGGACCCAGCAGAATCAGAGTCAGGCCCATCTGTATTGTTATATTATATTTTGTTTTTCTTGTGCTTGTAATATAAACTAATAGGACCTGGATTCACACCTTATTTTCAGTGATCATGGTTTTAAAGTCTGGAATGAATCTATTCCCAGAGGTACAGCAGCTGCAGTGTCCCCAGCCCTTGCTCCTTGTGTCTCTCTCCCCAGCTAGTTAGCCTTGCCCTTGCTGCCCAGTTTTGTGGCAGGTAGCCTTTAAGTCACCCTTTGCTCTTCTGCCCCCTTTCATGAGGTCTTTAAAACTGGAGCTGTTTTTTCCAAGGCTTCAAAACTGGGATATAATAACCTTTTTTTTTTTCCTGAGAATATTAAGTTCCTGTAAAAGACAGAAATAATAGTTACAGTATTTCTGCCCAATTTTAGAGATGGGGGAACTGAGGCAAAAACTTGGATATACACAAAATTCCACAAGAAACCTGTGTCAGATGCACACCCTCATCCATCTCTTCTGTTCCCCCATGTCATGCTTTGAAAGAGTTGTGGATTCATTTCATCTGAATAATGATGTCAGAAGCCATTGGTCTGGCTTCTAAGTGACACCAGGCAGCACATATTTGAAATCAGAAAACACAAGAAGAAATTATGCAATGACCAACACAGGCTGGACTTTTACACAGTACGGTTATTTTCATTTTTTAAAACTTGCTATTTTTTAAAAAAGTCCTAATTCTGGGAGTGCCCCCCCCCCAAAAAAAAAAACTTTAACCTGTACTACCCAAGCTGCCATGTGAAAGGTGCTAGTGATAAACAGCCAGGCAAAGTGACTGGGTCTGTATGAGTAATTCTGCATCCATACAGATAAACTCCATTCAGGGCAGCATCATCCAGCTCTGTCCTGGGACTCATCCCTGGTTCCAGCTCTGACTCAGAGTAAAAGTTTCAGGTAAAGACATGAGATTTGTGAAAATTGTGCTCCGGTGCCCAGGAACTTAACCATTTGTTTGTTTCCCATCACCCTGAATTAGCACATGTCCAGCAGCCACCAAATTCTCCAGGACCTGGTATGTGACGCAGACTGGCAGGATAATGGTTTTACTGTGGATTTCTGTAGGCAGCACTGCCTAATCCAGGCAGCCTACTAACTGCTATGAAGCACCCCGGAACAGGCAGTCCAGCCTCCCCTGGGAGCTGGAGTCTCACAAGGTGACTCACAGGCACAAGGAGGAAATACTTTTCTTGGAGTCACAAGGTGGAGACCCCCTCCACCGTGTCTAACAGACGATGCAGTCCTGGGCTCTGCCACTGTTCTGTCAAATGTCCTCTTCCAAGTCACCTCACTGCATTTCCCAGCTGCAAAATGTTTTGAGATCCAAAACCAAAAAGGTCATGGATGAGGAGAATAGGATGGCTTTCCTTGCTTTCACAACTCTAAGGGGGGTCAGCCACATGCACAGAGAGTGAAAGCATCCGCAGTGAGGGCTCAGAGGTACGTAATGGGGACTTCTAATGCAAAGCAGTGCAGTTCAGCTGCCTAAAAATAGCAATTAAAAAAGAGAAGTAATGTACATCAAAAGCTGCTTACAACCTCCTGCAGTGTGTGGTTCCCTAAAACAACCCCCAGCCACCAAACATAGGCATCCTCTAAAGTGAATGGGGAGGCAGTGCTGGCTGGCCATCCCCACACCCATGCCTGAAAGATTTTAGGGCTGCTGTTTCCTCCCCACTAAGACCCTTCTCTCCCTGACCCAGCTCCTCTTTGTCTCTCCTCCCCCTGTAGTTTTTGCATCACTGACACAGACTTCCTGAGAGTCAGCACCAGCAGACATGAACAAAGTAGCTGGAAGAAGAAGAAAAGCTGAAAGTGGATAGAAAATTTGGTCACTGATGCTTCCAGGTCAGCATTCTGCTGAGGAAGATGGGACACAGGTCGGTAAATGGCTGAGCTGGGATGTCTGGGGCCAGGATGGGATGCTCAGGGCTGAACCCCTCCGTGGTGTCTGCATGCATCCCGCAGCATCCCAGGTCAGCAGGAGGACATCTCTGGAAGATGAGGTGGCTGCTGTGAAGCTGGACTGTTTGTAAAGGTTGGCTGTGGTGGAGCAAACTAACCCAGTTGGGATAAATCACCTTGCTTGTCTTTCTCAGGCTGAATCCTGCCTGAGAGATTTGGCTTGCTCCCGTGGCTGGAGGTGACCGGTGGTGTTGGAGGTACAGCTCGGCATGGGAGCTAAACACGGGGAGCAAGAACAGCAGCACAACACGGGAAGGGGCGTCCGTCCTTTAAAATCTGTCTCAAAATGATCCTTCTGGGGCAACTGTGTGAGAAGTTCTTTCAGGAGTGATAGAGGCACGGGTGGGAATGAGTTGATCAGTCCAGCTTCTGCCTTGCAAGGAGGAGCTCTGCCTGCCTGTGCTTGTGTGTCTGTGCTGGCGTGAGGGTTTATTCCTAGTGAAAGGAGCAGAGCAACAGCCGAGGAGCTGATCCTCTTTGTGTGTTTCACAAGCGAAATTCAGGCAGCTGTGCTGACATGCAGCCATGTCCAGAAAAAAAACAGTCCAGTATGTGACACAGCTGGAAAGAAAAGTTTGCCTGGAGTCATCTCTGGGCTTGGAAAAGTTGGTCACCACAGAGAGTAGAAGCAACCTCCATTCCCCAGTCTGAAATGTCCCCAGAGAACATCTCACCCAACACCCATCCTTTCTCTTGATGAGAAAGGAGCAGAGGTGCTGCAAATGCCCTGGGTGCCCACTGGGGTGGCTGGATCAGGACTCCCTTTGTCCAGCCGAGGGGTTGGGCAGGGGCTTCTCGGGACACCTCATCACTTTGGGGCACTTGGGTGTCAAGGAGCAGGGGAGGAGAGTTTTGGCTGGCTGCACCTGCACCAGGGACCCCTCCCCAGGAACTGCCTCAGCTAAGTTCCCAGGGCAGTTTGGTGTTGGTTCTCCCATGAAGAAAGTCTACAGCAAATGGGGTTCTTCTTCAGCCTGGACTTTTCATGCAGTTGGGTCAATAATGCTGGTGGGGTTGTGGCTGCACCCTTCATGTGTCGGGCGTGACAACCTGCAAATTGAAGCTGGCACCGAGGCAAAGCTGGACTTTCAGCAGTCCAGCTGCAAGGCAAGGGGACAGGGGAAGGAGATGAGTCCTTGCTGTCCTCCTGGACACCAGGAGGACCTCTCTGTCCATTCAGATGTCTTCCTGGCCAGCAGCCCTAGCAGCCTTGCACAGGCTCCGGTGTCTGCCCTGCTGCTGCACAGAGGACTGAGGGAATCAGAATGAGTTTCCCTTCTGCCTCCAGCCTGTCTGGCTGCAGCTGTGACCCAGATGTCTCTGTCGCCTCACCAAGTTGGAAGTGGCACAAAATCTCTAGAGAAATAAATGGGCACCTGCTGGGGGATGAGAGCCCCATGGGGTTCGCACAGGCTGATGAGCCACAGCCAGTGCTTGGGCAGTTCTGTTTCACAGATGTGAGATTTCAGTGCTTTCTGGAAGCTAGGGAGGACAACATGATATGTCCCAGAAACTTTGCTCATCTTCAGCACGTCCCTCTGTTGTCCCAAAATGTCCCTCTCTGTCAGTGCACTGAAAGAGGCACAGATGATCGCATTGACCACTCTTCACGAGGCATGTCTGGCCCTGGCCCTGGCCCCAGCCCCTGGTCTGGTCATCCTGGCTCAGATGAGGGAATGCATCACCCCACGGACCCTCCAGAAATGGGCCTGGGTGTGCCCCTCACCAAGAGGGATTTAGTTCTAGAGGTTCTAGACTGGGAGTTGGTCCCTGATGGTTATGACCACCAGCCTTCACCACCCCTCTGAAGGAAAAGTGGTGCCGGTTCCCACTCAGAGATCAGCACAGGATCCCCCCAACCACCAGTTTCTTGTCATGAGTACCTGGAGATGTGGAGAAACTCCAGCCTGTGTCAGGCAGTTCCAGCAACCCCCTTCAATCCCTCTTAGATTTTACAGTCTTTTAGTCTTTGGTTTTACTATAATTAACTAAGCTTGGCTGGGCTTTTATTTATTATTTTCTTTTCCACATAACAGCTTACCACACTAAAAGTGGTTTATTTGTTTGTTTGTTTTTTTCCTGTTGTCCTTGACAATAACACTTGCTTTTGTTTCTTCTCAGGTTCAGCCCTCATGAAGGAAAACACAGGCTTTCATCTAGAGAAGAGTAACTCAAACCAGCACTGGCACTTTCATATGATTGCTACCTCCCAGCAGCCCTGGCAGGCAAGGGAAGCTGGTGGCAATGGCCAGGAGGAATCCCAGTGATGACTGCCCTAAGGAACACCAGCCAGGCCCCCACCTCTGAAGAGCCAGGTGATGGAACAGCCAGCCATGATGATGCTGAAGCTCTTGGAAGTAGAGAATTTTCTCAGCCACACTCAGGAGAAGTTGTACACTTGCCTGATTTGTGGGGACAATTTCAAGCACAAGAGCATCCCGGAAGCCCACCAGAAATTCCATAAGGAGGAGGTGGAGGCTGAAGGCTGTGAGGAGGGTGACGCTGACCAAGCTGGAGAGCGCTTCAGCCAGAAGGTCAGCCTCACAGCCCACCACCGTGTCCATGCGTGGGAGAAGGAGAGCCCCAGTGCCACAGGGGGTGGGCAGTGCCTCACCACCCTCGGTGGTACTCATGCCTGTAGGCAGTGTGGGAAGACTGAGAAGGGCAACCTGGCCAACCACCAGCAAGCTCATGCCAAGGGCCGGCGTCACCACTGTGGGGTTTGGGGCAAGGGCTTCGCCAAGAGGGGGGAGCTTGACCAAGCACGAGTGGACCCACATCGGGGAGAAGCCCTATGGCTGTGGGCAGTGTGGCAAGTGCTGCACCCAGCACACCCAGTTGGTCACCCACCAGCGTGTCCACACCGGTGGCCAGCCCTTCCGCTGTCTCACCTGCGGCAAGAGCTTCCACCAGAAGGTCACCTTGGTGAAGCACTGCTGCATCCATGAGCGTGGTATGGACAAAGGAGGCAGCAAAGATAGCGGTGCCAACACCAATATGCCAATGCTGACACTGATGCCAATGGCAATGACAATGCCAACACCAACACCGGTGCCAGCGTCAAGACCAACGCCAGTGCCAATGTCAATGATAATGCCAAGATGGGTGGCAAAGATGTGGAGAGCGCGGCTGTCCCCTGTTGGCAGCTCCCCATTGGTGATCTTCACACAGAAGATTGCCCTCACCACTCACCAGCGAGTCCACATGCGGGGGCACCAGCCACCGCCAGCCCCAGTTCCGCTTAGACCCCAGGGCAAGGAATGGTCCTTTACCTGTGCTGTCTGCGGGAGAGGTTTCTGCAAGGAGATCGCCCTCATCACCCACCAGCAGGACCACAGCAAGTATGAGCCCAACCTCTGCAGCAAGTGTGGACAGGTCTTTCCTGACAGGGCCCAGCTCCGGATCCACCGGCCCTTCCATGCTGAGGACCAGCCATTCAAGTGTGCCACGTGTGGGAAGGACTTCAAGAGGAAGGAATTCTTGATTACCCACCAGCAGATTCACACAGCAGAGGCGTCCTTACAGTGCCCCCAGTGCAGCAAAAGCTTCTCACAGAAGGCCAACCTCATGAAGCACCAGCTCACTCACACCCACCGGAGCCCATTTATCTGCTCTGACTGTGGGCAAAGCTATAGCACCATTCGACATTTCAAGAGGCACCAGAGGAACCACCTCAAGAAGCAAAGCCCTCCTGGTGAGGGAGAGGAGCCCCCTGAGAACCTCACGACTGGCCATGTGTCCCCAGAGCCAGTGAGTGCCCATAGCAGCCCCCATCATTGTGGTGAAGACACAGAAATCCCTGAATCAAACCTCAGTCAAAACTGGCTGACACATGTGAAATTAGGGGGCAAGGGAGGGATATAAATATATTCTTTGTATATTATATAAAAGTCCTCATTTCAGGAGGTTTGGGGGTTTTTTTTCCCTAACAGGAGGGCTGAGAAGCTTGTGTTTTTTTTAAGCAAGTAAGTAAAGTCTGAAATCTGTGATTTCTGATATTTTCACATGATTCCAAGAGGTGGAGCTTTGTGATGGGAAGCCTCATCATTTGGTGAGATTTTTGGTCTTTTTTTTTTTTTTTTTTTAAAAAAAAGACTAAAAATCTCACCAATTGATGAGGCTTCCCATCACAAACTTCCTGGCAGGATTCAGAGCAGACCATTGTTGGTCCCTAGCCTTCCAGCAGCTGACACCACCATCAGATGTCCTGCAGACACATGGAGCAGCCCCGGGTCTTCTAATGTGGAAAAATTGCTGCCAGAAATAAGGGAGGATGTCATGGCCAAAGGGCTCGGGGATGGGGACCCTGCTGGCACCTGGCGAAGGGCCACTGAGGTCAGTAACACCCCTCATGGAGGGCAAACACCCACCCACACAGCCTAGTTTGCAGAGCCAGAGTAAAAGCCCTGGCAGGGTTCACATGAAGACGTTTTTCCTAGTTTAAAATGACCTCACGCATGGCTTGATTGTGCGGGATAATCCCGGGGCATATTTATTGTGGAGCGGGGGGCATTCATTGCACAGCCACATGTCAGAGCAGCATTTGGGAGGGCTGTCAGACCTGTTTCTCACACCCCATGCTCAGCTGCAATGCCAAGCTGTGGCTCCTAAACCTCGAGGCGCTGGTCTGTGCCGTGCAGAGCCTCACTCCGTTAGGGTGAAACCCTCTGCCACTGTCCTCTGTGCCACCCGTTTGCAGGTGGGACCACAGCGTGGCACCAGCAAAAGGTGCGTTTCATTGCTCTGCCAAGAAAAGGAGGTGTCAGGTCGCTCCCAGCGCCCCACCAAAGCAGGTGGAGTTGGCGGGTTACCAAAGGCTGCTCCCACCACGGGTACAGATGAGCCTCCCCACATATGGCGTGGAGACTGCACTGTCCCATAGGACCCCTCCGACCCATCTTAGTGACGCAGAGGCCATCTCCAAGGTGCACCTCTAAGGCCACCTGGCCAAGCCAACTTGCTGTTCAGAGTGGGTTTTGGGGGGAGAAGAAGGAAGGGTTTTTCTGGACAGTCAGAGTACCACTTCAGATTTGCCAGGAGGGTTCTGTTGCTGCTGATGTTACTGCCAGAGCTCATTTCAGCGATAGAAAGAAGGGGGTTCACCACCCCGTCCCCAGAGCTGGGTGCTCCCCATGCCCAGAGAAGCACCCTTCACCCTCTCACTCCCCCCTTAGCTGCCAGGTTTTGCCTCTGAGGTTGCACGAAGGCAGCGAAGCACAACACCACGTCCACACAGGGCTAGCTTTCAGCACCTGCACATACCTTTAGAGCTCAAGCAGCCCCCTCCCCATTAAAATCACCCGGTGTGAAATGATCCCCTTCCCCCTGTGCTTTTAGCAGCACTCACCATTGCTGGATTCGGTGTGCGCCCTGCGGTCCAGTCCCCAGTGCAGCCCCTGCAGCTCTACATCCCATCCATTAAATTAATACCCTGCCATTAACTACAGCAAAGAGCTCCGATGCCACGAAGTGATGGCAGGGGCAAAGGAAGGATGGAAACACCACTATTAGCTTGAAAAACTGGGCCAGGTTGTCTACAAACTTTACAAGGTCACCAGATGAGCCAAATGGATAGTTATACAAAATTAAGGACTTTTTTTTTTTTTTTTTTTTTTTTTACTCTAGATGATCTGTTTGATTTTGAAGATTTCCTTCAGCATTCCTGTTGTTTTAGTTGTTTGAGGTTTTTTTTCCTGCAGTTGTTTCACTGGTGGTAAATTCATCAGACCTAAATAGGTAGACTGATAACAGCCATGACAACAGTACATTAAACTATTTTATGAAAAGCAGGGAACTAAATCATTCACTGGAAAACAGGCCATGGTGGAAGACTGAAAGCTTTGTACCCTTTTAAACTTGCTTTTTTTTTTTTTTTTTTGTGCAGGATGTTCCTTCTCCAGTAATCTTTGCACAGCTCTGCCCTATTTCTGCAAGCTAAAGAGACAGCGAGCTGGTGCGTAGGCTCAGCCCTCGCTGATCAGTTGTCCTGGTCTTGTCCCTTGTTTGGGGATTTTCTCTCAGGAATTAAATGACAGTGAGAAATAAATCATAGGGCTCCTCTTTTCTAACTGATTCTGATTTCTTTAACTCACATTATGTCTTGCTAATAATCCTGCTGCACATAAACAAATTCTAACCGGGGATGATTGGGGAGCGGCTATGTACATCGCATGGCAAAAGTTCTGCCCTGATTAGGCGACTGCTTTTCTGGCCAGGAGGATTACGGGTGATGAGTAATAGGCCATGTTATTCGAGCGCGGATAGAAGAAAAGGCTTTGCCTCAGCACCTTCCAAATAAGACCCAGGAGAAGAAATAGTAGGTCATGAGCACGGCCCAGCTGGACCCTCCTTTGGGGAACAGAAGCAGCCCTGTGTTTGTGAGCTGTGGTTGGGCAGTTTTTCACCGGCTCTCTAGAAAACTTTGGCTGCCGTGGGGTGAGTGAAGATAAATTCTTAGTCTTACAAAGTCCACCGTGCTCTGGGGCTGGCTTTATCTCGCCTGAATTCATGTCTCTACAGCACAGATATAAACATCTGAGCTGGTCATCCCATACTTAAAATCAAAGGAGAGAAAGAGGGAGATGGAGAAAGGGATTTTTCTGCCCTATTTAGATGTCCACCCTGGGACGATATTCCAGGACTTCATTGACTCTACTGCCTACATCTTCACAGGCTGCAAAGGGGAGCTGGGCTTGGAGGGAGACATCCCCATCAGTTCATGCTGGTTTTAGCCCCCAGCAGCCAATTCATTCAGGAAAAGAGTCGGGGCTGTAGGGACACAGTTATGGCCAGCAGTTACTAAATGTGATTGGCACGTGGAGTGAGCACTGCAGAGCCCTCTGATGCAAAAACATCCCGGCCCTTAACAATTTGTTTGCTGAGCTGCACTGTGCTGGTGAAGCTCTGCCTGCAAACGGTCCCAGCTGTGTGTGGCTTCCCGAGGGAGCGAGCTGGTACAGATAGGGGTGTGGAAAGGCTTGTATAATCCACACAGAGGTATATTTTTTATTACTTTGTATTTATTTATATATTTGTATTTATATAGAAGGGAGCTGTGCAGGAGACAGAGAAACTAGCAAGACTTGTGGAAACCCACTGATATATTAACATCTGATCCTGAAATATTAACATATGATCCAATGTTATTTTCTGTTCTTCCCTATGTTTCTTTTTACAAAGCAAAATAAATTATATTTTGCTATTGTCTTTCTTTTTAATATCACATATCAACATACTTTTGCTGCATAGGATCCTCCACCTATGCAATTCACCTTTTTCCCCTAGATTTTTTCTATATTGCCTCTGATTTCAATACGGTTTGCCTCTATTTTTATAATAAAAAGCCGTACTGAACAAAGCTGTGTTTCAGTGCTGTTGGATTCAAGTCAATAGGATTCAAGTGAATGGGATGGAGGTGGGAGAGGTGAGAGCCTGGGACAGAAGAATCCACCTGGGACCAGGACACCAGCTTCTTTGTCTTGGTTCAGTCCTTCATCCCATGGCAGGTCTGAACAGGGGATTGTGTGAGACTGAGGTTTCGCTATAAAAATCCTTGAGAAGAGATTTAAATTTTCCAAGTCTCTCTAGAAACATTTGGAAAAGCACATGCAAGGTCCTCACTCATCTTGATGCAAATCAGTCTGCAAAAATCAGTCATCAACAGCGGCAAAATACAGGTGAAAATTGTGACTGATGAGAAATCTTGTCTCCAAGCGTCTGGTGCATCCTGCTTGTCTCCTCTCGAGATTGTTACTGTTTGATGGTGATCATAGCTTTACAGACAGGAGCTCATCGGGGAGGGAATGAGCAGCAGGACAGGAAACAAGAGTGAGGTGGATAAGGGAAGAGCAAATGGTGTCATCTACCTGGATTTGTGCAAAGCCTTTGACACTGTCCCGCACGACATCATTGTTTCTAAATTGGAGAGATGTGGATTTGATGGATGGACCACTGGGTGGATGAGGAGTTGGCTGAATGGTCACACTCAAAGAGTTTTGGTCAACGGCTCAATGTCCAGGTGGAGAGTGGTGACGATTGGTGTTCCTCAGGGGTGGGTGTTTGTACCAGTGCTGTTCAACAACTTTGCTGGTGACGTGGACAGTGGGGTCGAGTGCACCCTCAGCAAGTTCGCCGATGACACCAAGGTGTGTGGTGCGGTGACACGCTGGAGGGCTGGGATGCCATCCAGAGGGACCTGGACAGGCTGGAGAGGTGGGCCCGTGGGAACAACATGGAGTTCAACAAGGCCAAGGGCAAGGACGTGCACAGGAGTTGGGGCAATCCCAAACACTAAGATAGGTTGGGCAATGAGTGGATTGAGAGCAGCCTTGCGGAGAAGGACTTCAGGGTGTTGGCTGATGAGAGGCTCAACATGACCTGACAATGTGTGCTGACAGCCCAGAAATCCAACCATGTCCTGGGCTGCAGCAAGAGCAGTGTGGCCAGCAGGTCGAGGGAGGGGATTCTGCCCCTCTGCTCCGCTCTGGGGAGACCACACCTGGAGTCTCACCCACCAGGTGAACTGCCTGATCCTCCAGCCTCCATCAATCCCCATTTCTGTTTACATCAAACAGCCCGTTGAGGGAGCAGACTTGCTCCTTCCCTCCTGCAGAGGGACATTTGTTATTCAGAACAAAATATTATGTTGCTGTGTTATTTAATCAAGTCAAAATTCATAGGCAGCATCTGTGCAAAAGATAAAATGTTTCGGGACAGTTTAGTCCTTTTCTTATCTGAATGATTACGGTTATGTAAAGATTTTTCTTTCAAACATGGAGATGGAGTTTCATAAGCGAGGGACCAGAATAGTGCCAAGTAGCCAAGCATCTTCCCTTGATCACAGTGGATTAGTACAATTAATCTGTAGGTATTAGTGACCAGCAGGGTTTTGCCTGGAAGCCATAATATATATTTATTATTTCATATCTGATTTCCCCCAAGAGGCAGAAAATTAAATCATGGGCTTTTCTTTTCATCATTACATTTTTTACCATGGGGTTGTGGGATTTGGAAAACTACTGAGGGGCTCCTGGTCAGAGGGGGAACAGCTAGCAAAGCGGGGAATGAAATCTCTGATCATTTTTCATGCCTTCTGAGAATGATGCAACTGGGAATTACCAATTGCTGGATGAGCACCAATCGGTGTGGGAGCTCAGCCAGAACCTGCTGGAGGTAGTGGGAGAGTAGCAAATATCCACCGGTATAACCAAACCTAAAGGCACTTTCCAGACACTCCTGGTATTTCTGCCTGACACTGGAGGAAACCAGAGCTCGGAAGTATGGAATTATTTACTTGGGGGAGGAACCCTTCCTAATGTGTAGCCTCTAAAGAAAGAGCAGAGCTTTGCTCTGTTCCCAACATGAAAACTGAAAAAGAAAGCCCCTGACAAGTTTTCTTTGCTTTGGCTTTTGGGGAATAGGTCCTGAGGGTTTCTCACTTGTCTTAGTGCAAAGCAGCTGCATTTCTCATCAATTTATAAATGAAGACATAGCAGCCTGGTCTGAAGCAGCACCTGTTTAACCCAATTACAGATCAATTGGCTTAAACATTGCTCTCGGCATTATATCAGTTAAAGGTTGACACAGATGGATTTAGCTTGTGTGGGTTGATTTGTGTGCTGACTGCTGGGAAAACAATTGATTACAACGCTGGCTCTTCCCATACCTCCAACTCCTCACAGACCAGACAGCAGACACCAGAAAATGTAAAGCCAGGAGAGGAAGAACAGCACAAATACACAGTGATCTTTCCTCCAAGTAGCTATTTCAAAGCCGCCACCTGCCAATTTTATCGATTAGACACTAGTTCTTGTATTAGAAGAGAAAATGAACCTTTCTTTTCTACTTCCTTTCTTCACAGAGTTCCTAAAATTGGGGGATGACCCCAAATGCTGCCTAAATCCAGAGCTAGAGTCCCAGCACTGCAAGCTGAGATATTACTTAGAAAAGACCAATTGGCTTTGCCAGTGCTTTTCATTTTTCGTAGCTTTATGAAATGAATGAGCAATGTTTTCCCATCCCCTTGCAGAGGAGATAGCTGCAGATTACAGCAGAAAGTGGAGCATTACATGATCAGCTCAGATAGGAACATGGAAATGAGTGTGGCAGAGCGGCACAGAGTTAGATTGAGCTTCAGCAGCCCCCGCTTATAAATACTAAACTCTGCCTATCTGGCGCCGAAGGTGAATTGCAGGTCACAGCAAAGATAGGCATCAAAAAGATTTAAGCTGAATTGCCGAAGTACATCTGTTGGAGCTGTCTTTGTTAGGATAAACCTGTCACCTTCAGTTTTTTTTTTTTTTTTTTTTTTTTTAATCAGGAGGATTTTTGCAGCCTGCAGACTCAGGAAGGTTCCCGCCGCTACCTTCAGGCATCGCCTACGCTCCCCTCCCTGCCATCCGCCTCCATCAGCAGAGCAAAACCAGCGGCTCATCCTGCCTGTTTGCAGTGCCCACTTCAGACTGAGACAAACTGCACCCCAAACTCTGCTGATCACAGAGGCTGCCCCAGAGGCTACAACCACCCATGCTGAGAATAATTGCATTTAATCAGATGGACCCCCCCCCAACTCTATAAGCTCACAGCAGCAAGATCCAAACTTCACTCTTATACCCCAGATACGTGCTCCCCTGAAGATGATCTACTATCAATTACATTTCTAAGACTTTCTTAGTATTGTCATCTTGCATTAAAACCCAGGGCTGCTGCACAGCTGAAACACTCAGAAGAGCTAAAAATAAACCGTATGGTTTCAATGCTTAAATACATTCCTTGCGATTGCTATTTTCTGCCTGACAGCACCCTCTTCTGGAAGCGGGTGCTGCTCGCTGAAGGGTGCACCCTGCTCGGCTGGCATCAGCTCCTCAGTGCCTGAGCACCAGCAGGCAAAGGGCAGAGCCCTCCGGGGTGAATTTAAGCAGCATGGCATTAGACAGGCTTTTCATAGAATCACAGAATGGTTTGGGCTGGAAGGGATCTTAAGGATCACCTAGTTCCATCCCCCTGCCATGGGCAGGGCCCCCTTCCCCCAGCCCAGGGGGCTCCCAGCCCCGTCCAACCTGGCCTTGAACCCCTCCAGGGAGGGGGCAGCCACGGCTTCTCTGGCCATCCTGTGCCAGTGCCTCAACACCCTCACAGGGAAGAATTTCTTCCTTGGATCTAATCTAAATCTGCCCTCTTTCAGTTTAAAACCATCACCCCTCACCCTATTCCCACCCTCCCTGATAGAGTCCCTCCCCACCTTCCCTGTCCCCCCTTTAAGCCCTGGGAGGCCGCTCGAAGGGCTCCCCGGAGCCTTCTCTTCTCCAGGCTGAACCCCCCCAACTCTCTCAGCCCGGCCCCCCAGGGGAGCTGCTCCAGCCCCCCCAGCATCTCCGTGGCCTCCTCTGGCCCCGCTCGAGCAGCTCCGTGTCCTTCTGCTGTTGGGGGCCCCCGAGCTGGCCCCAGCACTGCAGGGGGGGCTCCCCAGAGCGGAGCAGGGGGGGAAGAACCACCTTTCTGAGCCATTTTTTGCCGTTCCTTTTGAAGGAGTTTGAAGATTGCTGTATGATCGAGTGCTGATCAGTCACAGCACCCGGTTACTGGGTACCCACTAGCTGATGGGCGCAGCCCTCAGCAGCCAGCAATCTGCACAGACACCGCAGAGCCTGGCAAATTGCTGCTCTGCATTGCTGGAGCAGCAGGTAAAATCTGTGCCGCCCTGGTGAGGATTGCCCTAAAAATTTTAAGTAAGTACGTCCTCAGAGGTGTCCCAGCTTTCTTCTTGGTTTGCTTGAAACACAGGTGAGCAAGCCCCTCTTTGCAAATAGCGTGCGTATTAGTCAGGACAAGAACACGGGTGTTCAGCCAGCTATATCGCACGGCGACGCGGGCTGCGAGCTAAGAAGGGGACGAGCAGCTCAGCTTCCCAGGGCCACCAGCGGCCCAGGGCCACCAGCCACCATCAGCACCCATCTGGCAGGGCTCCAGATTCCACCTCCTCCAAAAAATCATCCTCATCCCTTGCCCTCTGCAGCGGCAGGAGCGCCTCGCTTGTGGCTAGCGCTGCTCAGGTGTCCACTTGAACAGACTGAACACAGTGCAGCTCTTTCCAGGGCTTGTTTGTATTTTAAAGATGCTTTAAAGAACAAGGGTTTCAACTACAAACCATGTGCAGGGCTTGCCAGCATCCTGGGCTAACTAACAGTCAAGGCCAAGAGGTGAAATCGAGACGCAGTTTGCTGTCTAATTAGTTCCCTGGTGATGGTTTCCTACTCATGGCTGCAAAGTTTTATCTGTTCTTACATGAAGTAAATAGCACTGTCGCGTTTGCCTGCAGCGTGGGGGTGTTTAATTACCTTCTTCAAGCATGGACAGCAGGAAGGGCTGGGGAGAGGGCTGAAGAGGACCTGACCTGACTTTCCAGCCACCGCTCGAAGGGCACCAGTGGGAGTGACTGGGTCCAACACCTCCTTGGAGTCAGGCAGGTCCTTCCAAAGCCCAAGTCATCTCAGGGCTCTGCTCAGGTCCTCCAAACCAGGAACACCTTTGGAGGGCCCTGCCTGCCTCCCGTACTCCTCTCCCTGCCTGTGGGCCGCTGGCTGGGTTCGTACTGGCTGGCACGCAGGCGCTTGTTTATCTGTGTTTCACTCAAATTAATAACCAGGCTTCATTTATTACATCAACTCTGTGCATCCTGGAGCATTTGCCAAAGTTGAAAACCCTCGCTCACGCCAGCAGAGGGGAAACTGAAGCTAAGAAAGCCTCCTAGCAGGCATCCACAGTCATCCAGCTCCACAACTTGCATGTTGCAAGTACTTGGAGCAGCCCCAAGCCAAAGAAACACCCCGGGGGGGAATTCACCTTGCTCCAGGCCAGGAACAAGACAGATCCATAAAACTGCAGTTTAACTGCAGGAAGCAGTTTGAGGAGGATAAGGACGAGGGAAAGCAGTGACCCCATGCCCACTGTCACCACCAGGATGAATTCATGCGGCCAAGCCCAGCAAAACAAAATAAAACCAGCAGCACAGTTATTTATGGGCATGGTGAAAACCCCTCCCTCGCCAATGCCCCTGATCCACCCGCTTCTGCACCTTTAGATAAAAGTAAAGGAAATTACTCAGGAACT